TTTACTACTACTAAAAGTTGTCATTAAATGGATTTTAAAAAGATAAAGACATTAAAATAGGGTTGCACGATACCGGGAAAATATGTGATGAGTGCTAATCTCCATATTTAATATGATATAACTAACATGCAAAACGCTATTTTATCAGCAATTTATAAACATAATTTATGTAATGTTCATACTAAAATCAACAGGTAATAGATATTTGTCTGAAATAATTTAATGTAAAAATTAAAAACTATATTGATGTACAAACATTTCGACTTTAAAACACCATGAATGACTGAAATTCTGATTCTTTTTGGCTGTTGTCAGAGGTAAAGTAAAGGCCCCATCTGATTGGTCAGATTTGGATAACCTGTGCATGCTGCACATAAAATTAACTTAATTTATTGCACTTCTCTGTGATAGGGACATGCATATACTTGGCTTTTATCTCTATATACTAGGGATAAATTATATTATATCAGATTGCCAATGATGCCAACAATGATAAGCTCTGGACTTTTTTTTTTACTTTTTTTTTTTTATCTTATTGATCTAAGGGCCAATCACACAGCAGAAATGTGCAACCATGGGAATCTAGAAGTATATTGATATTAGATTTAAAAATCAAGCTCAGGATCAAGTCAAAAGAGAACAGCGGTGCATTTAAAAAAAAAACTAAAAATTGATTTCTGGAACAATTTTCCACCACAGCTCTATTTTAGATCTAAGGCTTCAGCCATAACTGCTACAAACAAAAAAACAAAGTGCTTTAATTTGTACATTTTACACATTGTCTATCTTCAACCAGATCTCCACGGGGAAGCAGCCATACACTTTCAGAGGAAAACAGACCAGGAAACCATGTGGTTCGACAGCCAGCAGGTCCAGACGGTACACAAGGCTTTCACCACCAGCGCAGATAGGAATAACAGCCTTTCCTGGGAGACCAGAAGAGGCGAGCGAGGGTCTCCCAGATTAGGGTTTAAATTCAAATCATTTTTATCAATATTTAGGATGTGGGATGTTCTTCAAAGAAATATAAAAAACCCTCTCGAATCCAGCACGGCCTGTGTGGAATGTACCGGGGGAAAGAAACACGATCTAGCGAAGCAGATGTGGGAAACTTTCCCTGCTTTTTACACTGTGATGAGGACCTCGCCTCCGGACACTGCTCACTGTGATGTCCAGCCCCAACGAAATCCCTTAAAAATTAAATGAAAATGGAGAGAAATGAAACAGAACTATCGTCCCTTCCTCACCTCATGTAAGCAAAATCCTCTGAAAAGACATTTGGGATGGAAGAAACAAGCGTGCTAGAAGCAACAGAAGAAAGGCACCAGCTTCCTTCAGCAATAATTCTAGAAATCTCACCAATTACTCAAACCTCCCTTCCACACTGTTCTCTCCAGCTTTTTGTATTGCTTGTGTTTGTCTTTTGTTTTAATTATTTTGGTTATTACCGGTCTGCTAATTGCCATATGTTTTTAAATGGGTAAGGAAGGTATGTTGTGGAAACTCGAGCTGACTTTCTTTATTGTTTACGGTTATCTGTTGTTGTTTTTCTTATGTTTTATTCATGGGTCTTCCTCTGACTGTCCTGATTTCTACATAAAGTAAAACGAATAAAAACAAAAACATAAGTAGAGAGTTAAACGAGTGCAACAATCACATTTTTAAGCCGTTTCTATGCCTTTTATAATATGATTTAAGGGTAGTCGTTTTTAGACCTGTGCATTTTAACGGAAAAGATGAGTTGTGTAAATATTTGTCGTGCTGGGAAGAACTGAAGAGAGAGTGAAACGAGGAGAGATTTAAAAAAAAAAAACAGGTTTTGCTGGCTTCCCTCGTCTCACTTTCTTAAATCTGCTGTTGGCCATTTTCTTCTCTCTCTCTGTTTGATTTATTTACTTATGTAGGAACTCAGGTTGTTGTGAGGAATTATGAGCGAATTAATGAAGTTGTGTATTGCTGGATAGGTTTTTTTTTGTTGTTTTTTTTTAACTGAATGATGGTGCAATGTTAAGCGTACATGATGAAGTATGGCTTCAAGATCATTTGAAAACTCATCTATGACTACAGAATATCCTATAAGAGTTTATTTAACGTTTATTGAAACCTAAGAGAAATGTGTGTGTGTGTGCGCCGCACCAGTGGCTTAACTAAGCAACTTGTTATTGAAAGTGTTAAGTCAGTTGATCTAGTTGCTTTGGCTCTTGCAATACAGTGTCTATATATGAGGAGCCATACTACTACTTTTCTTGACTGTAACTCCCTGCTTATTTCTTTTTCTAATTTACTTTTCTGTGCTGTCCACGAATGAAATCTCATAACTCCTGCAGTTTATGAAAATACCCTTTAATCTGACGTGTCATCGTTCACCCATTGTGCTGTAAAAAAATCAGACCAGACGGGTTTGTCATGCCCTGCCTGAAAACACAGAAATCTGCCTGTAAATACTTTTCAAAATGCCCATTTAATAAAAACTTTTTAAATAATGCCTCTGGAGACTGTTTGTTAAATGTTTAATCTTATGTTAATCCACTTTTTAAATGTGACTCTGGACCACAAAACCATCATAACCGTCAATGTTTTGATATTGAAATGTATACATATTGTAAATGAGCTTAATGTTGACTTATGGTTTAGGACACTATTTGACCGGGTTATCTACTTTAAAGTGTAAATGAAGTGCTTAGCAAGGCATATTACTAATAACAAATATGGTTTTATGGTTATCCTGGATGCAGGATATTGGAAAAATCGAACATTGCTATATTTTTTTTTATTCTGCGATATATATTGTGACATGAATACAATTTCACTAGAGGAGTTGAATAATGCTTGTGAAGAATCTATCATTTTAGACTGACTGGAAAGATTCTGTAAAGGAGTGCATAATGTATAATACATCTATAAGCAGGGCTGCTCGATTATGAGAAAAAAACTATCATGATTATTTTGGTCATAATTGTATAAATTAGATATACAGTTGAAGTCAAAATTATTCACCCTCCTGTGAATTTTTTTAATGAATATTTCCTGAATTAAATGTAATATTTTTGCAGTATTTCCTATATTTTTTTCTTATTTGTATAGGCTAGAATAAAAGCAGGTTTAAATATTTTGAAACCTAGAGTCAATATTATTTGACCTCTTAAGCAATATTTGTTTTTTTTTTTTTTATATATTTTTTGGCTGCATAAAAAACCACTGTTATACAATAACTGGCCTAATTACCCTAATACGGCCTTTGGATTGCACTTTAAGCTGAATGCTTGTATTTTGAAAAATATGTAGTGAAATAGTATGTACTGTCATCATAGTACATATAAAATAAATCAATTATTAGATATGAGTTATTAAAACTATTGTTTAGTTGCTAATAATTCAGGAGGGCTAATAATTTTGACTTCAGCTGTATATACAGTTATTTTCCTCCCTGTAAATAAGGAAAGGGAACTAATTCAATAGAATAAAAATGAAACAAACTGCTGTAAGCATCTTCACTGTAAGAAAAAAAACTTTAATTACAGCTACAAAAGTCCTTCAGTCAAGAACAGTGAGTGACTTTCTCCTTTTGTTGTTTGATTAATGACAAAAACAGTCGTCAGTAGGCATATTGCGCAGTCACTTTAAGGGCAGTGCGGTTGTGATTTATGGTTTCACTTTGACATGTCTTTTGATTCTTGTTTGTTTATTACCTAAATGAGGGTTAATATGAATCACTAAACACAGCATTTTGACACAAATTTGCATCTATTTGACCATTAAAGCGCTCACATTAAGATGACTTCAGATGTGTGTGCTCTGCTCATCCCTGAGGCTGAGCGCGCGCACACACAGTATGCGATCTCTTTTGCGCTTTTAAAAAAATGAATGCTTCGAATGTACACCAATGAATGATGCGCATCTGTTACACGTAATCTGTTGCATTACAGCACATGCTCTTAGTCATTTTCATGTGAAACAGAGCTTTACAGAGCAACACTTGTACAACTGGAAAGGGGCCGGTATATGATGCAATAATCGTTTCATCTCGATTCATGTTTTTTCATAATTGTTGTAACTGACTAACAGTGTGCCGAATTGATTTGCTCAAGGAATAATGGTCTATAAGATAAAGTTTTGTTTTTCAGGGCTCATATAGGCTAAACACTTAAAACTACTTACATTTTCATGTATTATTTTCAATATGTTTTCAAATTCAATATTTTTGAAAACGACACCATTATTATCCATGAAATTCATATTTAAATAAATTCAATTTTGGGAAAACTATAATAGAAAATGTTACATTACAGGGTGGGCCATGTACATGGATACACCTTAATAAAATGGGAATGGTTGGTTATATTAACCTCCTGTTTGTGGCACATTAGTATTTGTGAGGGAGCTTGTAAATAACTCATGAAAGAATAAAGTTACGTTTAAAACCAAGTACGCCATTGTTTTTCTTGTGAAATTCCCAATAAGTTTATTAAGATGTATCCATATAAATGGCCCACCCTTAATGTGCAAATTAAGATAAAATTAGCCTAAATTAAAGGAATAAAAGAAAGAAAATTCTGTCATCATTTACTCCACCCTGACTTGTTCCAAACCTATTTGAGCTTATTTTTGTTCTGTTGAATACACAAGAATAAATTTCAACAAATGTTGGGAAACGGTAACCATTGATTTCTATAGTATTTGTCTTTCCTACTATGGAAGTCGATGGTTTTAAATGGTCAATGGTTAGCAGTTTGTAACATTTTCTAACCAAATTTCTGTTAAAAAATAAATAAATAAAAAAGTCAGAGGTGGTTAAATGGTGGCAGAATTTAACATTTTTTATTATTATTTTTAATAATAATTTTTTCGTGGTTTTTACCTTTTAATGTATAGGATGGTAGAGAGTATTTGACAGGAAAGTGTGGGAAGCATAGAGGGAAAGGATTGGCATTGACCTCGAGGCGGAAAATGAACTCAGGTCGCTGTGAGAACCATGTGTCAACGCACTAACCACTACACCATTGCCGACAGAATTTTTATTTTTGAGGGGTTGAACTATCCCTTTAAATAGCATGTACTCAACAATTTTTTTAATATGTTAAACAAAGTGTTCAGCATTTTAAACTCTTTTGTTTACTTCTCAAGACTTTACATTTTTTTAGGTATGAACCGATCACTAGGGCGATTAATCGAAATCGAATCACAATTGCAATTTAAAACGTTGCAATTAGCTAATTGCAAGAGGCTATGATATGAAATATATATATGTATTATATAATTTTCTCCATCCAGAGTAAATGTGTAACTGTCGTCTGTGTGTGACAGTCTTACTATCCAATTGAGTGAGCAGCTGAGCACACTTTTGTTAAGCCCAATCAGAATTGTGTGACTGAACTATGCGAAACGTCCACAATAAAACAAACAGGAAAGCCTGAACAAGTGAAATCCAAGAAAAACAGCACGTCGGTAACATGGAAATATTTTGCTTTCAAAGTCTCAGAAATCAAACAAAAACTGGTTATTTGATAGAGCTATTGCAGAATTGTTGCCACAGCATGAGGAAATACAACAACCAGCACCCAAAAAAGCACCACAGCTATCTGAGTAGTGTCTTGCTAAAAAGTCAACTAAACGTATTGCCAGTGACACACAGTATAGTAGCTAGCAACAGCAAAGTACAATTTCAGAGTTGTTTGCGGCTGTTAAAACAACACGAAGCCACCAGGAGATAACTAAGGCCATAACTCACCACCTTTGCTCTACAGAAAAATGAGCGTTTAATTTCTGAATGTTTAAAAACTAATTCGAAAAGAAGTTGGAGTAAGTTAATATCTTTTCAGTTTGTTTTTTTAGCTAACACACGCTGCATTTTAGCAGTAAGAAGCAACAGAATATTTAGCTAAAGCTCAACTACAAGATTTAATCGTAAATCAAATCGAAACTGCAATAAAAAATAAATAAAAAAATTTATAATAAAAAAAATGTAATTTATTTTTTAAAATTGGAATTAGATATTTTCCCTGAATCGCGCAGCCCTAGCGATCACTTGCATATATAAATTGCATAATCCTCAAGCAATCTCTTTCCAGTGCTCTTCTAAATTAAATCAGTACACCAAAAAAAAAAAAAAAATACTCAAAAGTTTTTATTCATTAAAATAAGAAACACGATCTCCAAAAGTGATCTTTACCTCACTCTTGTTTCTGCATCAGAAGTTTTGCGCCATATATAATAGGCAGACAAGTATGGCATCTGGTACTCATACCTCACTACGGCACTGAGACGTGGTATCAGATCTTTGGCGACCCTGGAAATGTGTATCAGGAGAGCCCCAAATGCTAAAGTGGAGGCCGGGGTTAGCTAATGCTGATGACGGAGCTCTGTGAAGGGAACAAAGGCTGGTTCAGCGGCGGCCATGACGGTGTTTCTGTAAGCTGGACGTTCAGACGCTTGTACTGCTTTTTGGACTCGCGTTTTCCTCTGAGGTTTCGAAGGCAGTTCAGGGCACCTTGGTCAATGAAAAACTGTGGATATAAAAAAGAATAAAAGATGAGTTACTAAGAGTGTGTTTCGGATGTATTTTTGTTAGATGTGCACAGTGCATGCGTTTGTTTGTTTGTACCTCGAGTAAGAAGCATATGAAGAAGTTTAGCGCAGCGATGGCTACTAGCAGGAGTTTGTAACTCATGTCAGTGATGTCATAGAGCGACAGCACACGGTGGATGATGGTGTGACGGAAAAGCACTAGCCAACTCATGAGAGCAAAGAGGAAGACCAGAGCACATACGAACAATACTGAGGAGAAACAAGACAAATGTATATATAAAAAAATAACATAGTTAATAATTAATGAACTGCTCAATGTAGGTTATCATGAATAGGTCATTGGTGGGCCCAACCGGAATCAGTGCGTGCAGAATTCCGCTGATTTTTTGTCCATCATTAATTCTGTTTATTTACTTGAGTAAATGTGTGTAAATCTATATTTATTTAGTTTTTTTTTCATTAATTTTAGTAATATTATTGACTAATGTGAAATGTTCATCTGATTTATGTACAATGCAGTTTGTACAGTATTATTTTCTGTCTTTTAGTAGACACATTATAAGATAAACTTGCTTTATTTGACCAAATAAAGTGAATCTAATTGGATTTGCATTTTAAACATTAAATAAAAGTTTAAAAGATATTATTTTTTATTTCATATATTAAGGTTTCAGTTATGATACTCCCAAAATAATTCCGCAGAAATCCACAGACTTTTACCAAAATTCTCTGCAGAAATAGCAAAAAATGTCTGCAGATTCTGTCTGGCTCTAGTCATTGGGAATTAATACTTACTCGGTTTATAACATTGTTTTTTAACAAATTTAATACATTAAAATGTGAAACTGAATCACGTTTACATCCAAATATTAATTGATATACATAAATGAGGCTATGTAAAAAATGGGCTATCGACTGCTTGAAATGTCTGAATCCTGCCAGATTTACTGGAAAGAAAGTTTTTATGAGTTTACTCCTATATTTTTCTTTCAAAACCCTAGATAATAAAATTATTAATTTTAAATAATTTAAATGAAAAATAAAATTATTAAGAAAGATTTAAAATACATTTTCTTGATTTTCAAAAATATAATTTTCCCAAAATATGTTGACAGCTTTATTAAAATTTGATCAATCCAATTTCCTTATATTTAATAAATAGATAATAAATAATCCTGTTTAATTAACAATAATAAAACATTTAAATGATATATTGATTTTTTTGTAATATACAAATACAAAATGTACAGATATAAAATTCTTATTGATAATATGATAAAGTAATCATTAAATGATAACTATTATTAAGAACAATGATATAACAACAACAACAACAACAATAATACTAATAATGTTGTAGTTGTCGCTCTTGGATTTATTAATGAAATATAGATATAAATATATAGTTAAAAACAATATCAATGTTACTGATAATAAAAAATACTATTATTAACAATCCTATAATACTAATTTTCATTATAATTACTGTTATAAATATAAATTAACATTGGACTAAAATAATTATGATCATTATACTATGAAAAGTATTTTTTTTTTATTACTGATATATGCATATCATTTTGTCATCACTAAATATATGCACATCACTCATCTCATTACTTATTATTTACTCTGTTTATTTACAATGTTTTATTAATTTATTTATTAATACAATTATTCATAATAATTAAATACAGGAAAATTATTAACTAAATTAATGATAAAGATTTACAGTACATTTTCTTGATTTTGTAATTTTCGTTTTCACATTACAAGTTACGACAGTTACATGAAAATTTAATAAATAGATAATATTTATTCTTGTTTAAAATGTACAGATAAAACGTTCTAATTGATAATAATTTAATAGTACTTATTAAGTGATAACTATTAATAACAAGACTAATATTAGAATTATTATTTATATTATTGTTGTCATAATAGTCACTCTTGGAGTTATTCATAAAATAATAATAAAGAAAAAAATTAAATCAATGTTATTGATAATAAAAAATACTATTATTAACAACCCCATAATATTTATTTTCATAATAATTACGGTTCTAAATATAAATTATTATTGGAGTAAAATCACAACACTATGTTTTTAAAAGTATTTTGACAAAAAAGTATTTTAACTAAAGTATTTTAAAAATAATTACTGATATATGCATATATAATTTAAATTCTCACCATTGTGATAAAGCGGCTTTTTGTATGGAAATCCTTTAGTTATTACGACAGACATGATGATATACTGAAAGCCAGATACAGCAAATACACTTGTGTCCTCCATGTTGGGCAGGTTTGCAGCACCTGTCCTGGTGGAATTTAGTGGCACATACCTAAAAACACAAACAAGCGCTGTAAAAAGACTGCAAAGATTTCTAATGCTCTCTGAATTTGAGATCTCTGTCACTTACCAGTCTTGTGACATAGTAATAAGCAGGCCAGAGACCTGAGCCAGGATCAGCAGTACGGTGTGCATCAGTAAACTGGCCAGGACTGGCAGAGACAGCAGACTGGCAGCAGGACGCTGAGGGTGAAGATCATTACTGGGTCCTCCTCGCCCCATCAGGATAGCCAACGCCGTCACCAACACCAAATCAAAGAACAGAAACTGCAGGTCACCCAGGTTGGTTTTCTCCTACAGTACATATAAGATTTTTTTAACATTCATATTATATAACTGTATATTTGGAATTAATTTTATCTGATGAATTAAAAGAAGACAGGTAAAAAAAAAAACACTCACCGTGTAGAGAATCAGTACAGAGGCAAACTGGATGAGACTGTATAAGGCCATGTACTTGAAGAGGCTGAATGACGTCACCAGTGAACACCTGCCCTCCCTGTTTCAAAGATTTCATTTCAAACAACCAAGTCACACAATTATTGTTATATAATAATAGTAATTATTATTGCTATTATTTATAAATTCCCAAATTTTTATTATTATTATTAACTTTTATAATAATAATAATATTAAAATTGATAAATTTTAATATATAAAATGAATTAACTATTATTTCATATTGATTATTGTTGTATATAAAAAAAGAATATATATATATATATATATATATATATATACACACACACACACACACACACACACACACACACACACACACACACACACACACACACACACACACACACACACACACACACACACATACATACATACATACATACACATATACATATACATATATACATATATATATATATATATATATATATATATATATATATATATATATAATAAATTCAAATACTTCTAAAATACTATTATATATTAAGATTTTTTTATTATATCAATTTTTAAAAAAATCTTCGTCTTATTATTATTATTATTATTATTATTATTATTATTATTAATGGCAGCAAAATTATAATGAATTTTAATATATACAATTACATTTTTCATAATTATAATAACATATTGTATAATAAAATAATTATTCATTCTTATTAATATATATAGCGCTATAACAATAATAATAAATAATAATAATAAAATTATTAATATTTTATAAATACTAATACTCAAATTCAATAATTTTGTTAATAATAATAACAGTAAAATAATAAATATTATTTTATGTAATTATTAGTACAATTAAATAATAATAATTATTATAAATTAATAACGATAATAATAAATTCAAATACTTGAAATGAAATAAATAGATATTTATTAAATCAACATTATTAAATAAGGATATTATGATAAATCCTGAAGTCCAAAACACAATACACTTTATCGAATAGATAACAACATAACAACGTGTCATTTACTTGATGAGTAAAGGCACGCAGCTGATGTTGTCAGATTTGGATGTGAAGGGAGACGCAACAGACGCCTCAGCCTCAGACAAGGACACTCCCACATCTGCAGCCCGCAGAGCTCCACAGTCATTGGCTCCGTCGCCACACATGCCCACCCTGTAACTGCACAGAAACCAGCAGAAATGAGTGTTAAAAAGCCATGCTAGCACAATCACTCATATTCATTTATCAATCACATTTTTCATATTTACATTACTGCTGTCATTTTAACAAATGATCCTTATAAGGGATAGTTCACTCCAATATGAAAACTTTTACTGCCACTCCACTTATTACAAACGTATTGCTTCTTTCTTCTAATGAACACAAGGGAAGATATTTTGAAGAAAGTTCAAAACCAGTGCTCACTTGTACTAGTACTTCTTTCTACTATGGATGTCAATAGCCACTGGTTTCCATTCTTTAAAATATCTTCTTTTGTGTTCATCAACATTTGAAACCACCTGAAGCCGAGTAAAAATTAGAGCTGCACAAAGTTGGAAAATAATAAATAAGTTTGCCTGCAATATATATTCGTATATAAATATAATTTCACAAAATCACTTTAGCTCTATTTGGAAAGAATTCAGAACTTTATATTGACTGAGGCCCCGTTTACACTAATACGTTTTAGTTTTAAAATACCGAAAAGGATCTGCATCCACACAGGTGTTTCACCCAGCATTTCTGAACAAATCTACATCCACACTATTCGACTGAAAACGCACATTAGTGACCACACACACATTCTGGCATGCACTGCAGCGATAAGAGCTGTGCACGTCGGTTTGCACATTAAGGATCTACCAATGGAACTAATCTCACTATATTTGTTAAACGTGATATTTAATTCATCTTGTTCTCTATCCCAGTGGTTCTCAAACATTTTTCACCAAGTACCACCTCAGAAAAAAATTGTCCCTCCAAGTACCACCATAATGAGCAGTATTGAAATACAGTAGCGTAGTAGGCCCAGTAAGGCAGCTACAACTCTGCAGTTTAAAATCGTGACAGATTAACTACTATTATTAAGAATTTTTATTATTATCAGCCACTTTAAACATTATAAATAGTTTGAACATTAACACTGTACTGTGCTTATATGTAAAAAAATAAATAAATAAAAGCCTGGAAATGTTGCTTGGACCTCATGAATATAGGCTATATGTCATCATATTCATATATGAACCATTTTTGATCAATTTTGAAATATATGTTGCATGTACATATGACATTGATATTGGATTACTCTGCGTACCACTAGAAGGAAGCCTGCGTACCACTAGTGGTACACGTACCACAGTTTGAGAACCACTGCTCTATCCAATGACATATTCCCCGACTTTGGTTTTTTAAATCTTTTACTTGTTCTCAGGTAACAGGCTGGCTGAGCACAAAGATAAGTTAATATATTATTATATTATTAATTTATGTAACCATGTACAGTGCATATTTGACTGATTGCTTGCATTTATTTCCTATAAAGTATTAACTTATGGTACGTTTTACTTTTACAATGGCCATTAGTGATTATTAAAACTGATATTCAGCAAAAGAATGTGCTTTCATTTTCATTGAAAATATGAAAGAGGCAGTAATGCTATATAAATATGCATACAGTGAAGATGACGGTCATATAAATATGCAGCTACACAACGCCTCAACATTTTTGGTGTCTGTTAAGTTGCTAATATCAAAATGAAAACAGGAGGAGTTCTTCATATCATGTTTTGGGGGATTTCATGTATCCAGGGTGATGTGAATAAGGTTATAAAGTACACTGTTCCCTTTGAAGATTTACCCGCCATGACCTCGGGAGTTTGTTTTCCATATCCAACTTGAACTTAAGGAGAGGATGCAAGACCAAACTGTGAGTAGGCTACTTAATAATATTGAGAAAAAAGTCTCAATCAGGCAAACGTCTGCAGCCCCACCTCTATTTTCAGTTGTCTCTGTTTTCCCCCCCATCCACACTGACACAGAGCAGCAGCATTTTAAAATGAAAACAGCTCCCAGTTTTTTTCAAAAAGCTCAGCTTTCGGCACTCGAAAGCTCCAGCATAGTGTAGAGGGATGGCATAACTATGCCATCAATTTTAAAACTAAAACCTATTAGTGTAAACATGGCCTGAGATAATTTTGTAGGGGAGTAGCTGCATAAAATTTAATAGCCACATTACAAGTATAGATAAATACAACTGAACAAAAGATACAAATGAAATAAACCTTGTTTTATTGTTTTCTGTGGAATCTAACAATATTGACGCACATAAATTGAGGCATCATTAATTATTTGTAAAATAATAATATGTAGTCTTCATTGTATAAACAATTACATACAAGTAATTATGTTAAATCTTCCACCTCTTTAAAATCTTAAATCTTAAATTTGCTTAAAATCTTACACATTTACAGGTCTTAAAAAATAAAAAAGGTAAATCTTTCACTTTATTAGGATTAAACTTTGAGATGACCCAACAAAAATCAACTTTAATTAAATACAATTAGTTTTTGTAACTCTTCAAACTTGGTTTAAATTCGCTTGAAATCTTGAAGTCACAGGTCTTAAAAACATATAACAATTTTACTCTACTAGAGTTTTACTTTGAGATGACACAATAAAAAACTGTGGTGGTTGGTTATTATAATCTCAACTCGACATTTACAGATTTACACCTTGCAATATTGATGCCGAAATGATCAATTGTGCAGCCCTCGTAAAAAAATATATACACTACCGGTCAAACGTTTGGGGTCAGTAGGATTTTCAAATGTTTTAAAATAAGCTTCTCCTGCTCACCAAGGCTGCATTTTCTTCATTAAACACACGGTACAAATTGTAAAATTGAGAAATGTTATGGCACTATAAAATGACTGTTCAAAAGTACTTTATCATTTAATTTAAACATTTATTCCAGTGATTTAAAGATGAGTGTTCAGCTTCATTACTCCAGCCTTCAGAGTCACATGATCCTTCAAAAATCAATCTAATATTCATTCATTCATTTTCTTGTCGGCTTAGTCTCTTTATTAATCCGGTGTCGCCACAGCGGAATGAACCGCCAACTTATCCAGCACATTTTTACGCAGCGGATGCCCTTCCAGCCACAACCCATCTCTGGGAAACATCCACACACACACATTCAGACACACACTCATACACTACAGACAATTTAGCCTACCCAATTCACCTGTACCACACTTCTTCAGACTATGGGGGAAACCGAAGCACCCAGAGGAAACCCACGTGAATGCAGGGAGATCAATCAAATATTAATTATTATTATTAATATTATTATTATTAATGGTAATAGTAATAAAGCAATAATGACTGGAATAATCATTTCATTTGAAACTACATACAATAAGTAATAAATAAATATTTATTAAATAAGTATTTAACAATTTCTTTACATTTAATAAATGTCACCTTGATGAACAGAATAATTTTATTTAAAATATTAAATAAAATTTATGATTAAAAAAAAAAACCTTTTGACCCGTAGTGTATATAATTAGATTAACTATTCTTTTAAGCAAATGTACATTACTTTTTTCAGTTCCATTTACTGTCAAATTTTAAACATGGACTCACTTGAGTTTCTGTAGAGCTTTAACCAGCTGGGTTTTCTGTTCAGGGGTCATTCGGGCGTAAATTGTCCCCCTCATCAAAACCTGAAACACAGAAACGCAGAGTGCTGTTGGCAATCTTCAAAAAAACGCACATTACCAGTCTAAAACAGGAATGAATCAATATTTGTAAAACTCAATCCAAGTCACCTTGGGTAGATATTCAGGGAAATGATCACAAAGTGCTGCAAAGGACATCCCATTTATAGCCAGATGATAGCCAACAGCGCTCTGGTACTGACCCTTACAATGCAGGAAGAGGAAATATTAATCTCTTTTTTGCTGTTCTGTATAGGGTATTATCAGGTGATGTGTCATTGGTAACGTCTATTAAAGGGATAGTACATCTAAAATTTCTGTCATAATTTTTGCACTCTTTACTTCTTTCAAACCTGTTTGAGTTTTTTTTCTCCTGTTGAACACGAAATAATATTGAGGAAAGCCGAAACCTGTAACTATTGGCATTCATACTAGAGCTGCTAAATATACCATTTCAGCAATGATATCGCAATGTGACCATTCGCAATAGTCACATCACAGGGCTCTGCAATGTAACTGGGATTATAGTTGACTAGATATATAACAATATAGTGGAGTCATTTCAGATTTTAACCTTCAGAGTGAAAGTTTATTATTTGCATGTTTTCAGGACTCGGCTGTAAGAATTTGAAGCATTTGGCCACAATAAATTAAACTTAAAGGTTAAAGATTTATTGTACATTCTATAACCATTTACTCAATTAAAACGATACAGTGTTATTATTATTATTATTATTATTATTATTCATTCATTCATTTTCTTTGCGGATTAGTCAATTTATTAATCCGGGGTCGCCACAGCGGATATACCACCAACTTATCCAGCACATTTTTACGCAGCTGATGCCCTTCCTGCCGCAACCCATCTCTGGAAAACAACCATTACACACTTATTCACACACATACACAATGAACAATTTAGCCTACCCCATTCACCTGTACCACATGTCTTTGGATTACTTCAAAATATATCTTGTGTTTGAGGAAATAAACTTAAACGGGTTTATAACAAGTAAAGTGTGAGTAAATTATGACAGAATTTTCATTATTGTTTGAACTTCACCCTACAGGCGAGACACTGCAGGTAAAAAAAATAGTGTTTCATACACCTGAAAATTTAGAGATATAGATTTTTCCAGTCAAATGCAAAAAAAAATGTTCAAAATATACTGAAGTGTTTCTTATGTCGCACTTCATCAATTTGTGTCTATAGATTTCAATACTTCTATATTTTTATAGGCTGTGAGTTTATTCTGAAGGTTTTTACAGAAAGTCATGTTCATACATAATTTCCCTGTTTATATAGACATAACAGTTTTACAATTACACTTCAACATAATCATTTTTTCTGTCTGTTCGCAGTATTTTCTGAATTATGGTGTGAAAATAAGAGATACCCAAAATCTACTCTCCAAAACAAAAAAATGAACCTGACTTCATCCAATATAATTGTTTTGTACCGGAAACATATGCAAATGATCACAGATTTAATTAAATACGGCCTCATTTGCATATTAAAACATAACACAATTTAGAAAGCTTAAAACATTTTAAAAACTAATACAAAAATGTAATGTAACGTACAGTGTTGGAGGTAACACATTACAAGTAATGCAAGGTACATAATATCACTTTTTTCTTTACGAGTAAAGTAACACATTACTTTTAAAAAATAAGTAACGATATTGGAGTAATTTTTTTGAAAATGTTACTTTTTAATTAATTAGCTTTTAAAAAATAAAATGCTGAATTAAAATGAAAGTAGTCACAATGACAATGAAAGAATGTGTTCGCATTGAGGAAAAGAGGATTGTCTTAATGCACAGTACTTAAGACAAATAGTGCAAAAGTAGCAAACACATTGCTTTAAACTTTTAATAAACTGTATATACAGCATGTACAGTTATGGGGTCAGGAAGTTCTCAGATATTTATCCTAAAATACTTTATGTGATTTTTTAAAGGTAACTGAATGTGTAGAATATACAATGCCTTGTTAACTGCACAACTCTTCTATCAAAAAAAAAAAAAGAAGAAGAAAGAATCAAGTTCTGAAAAAGATTAAGCCTCAGCAAGGTAATGAAAAGTAACTCAAAAGTAATGTAACGCAATATTGAGTAACTCAGAATTGTAATGCATTACTTTCAAAAGTAACTTTCCCCAACATTGGTAACTTAATGTAATCTAATCTTCTCAGTGAGCCTGGGAAGTACACTGTAAAAAATGTTGGGTTCCACAAATAGCTTTGTGGTAAAACAACATAAAGAAATTACATTAACTTATTAGTTTTATGTTCAATCCACTTAAATTTGTAAAAACTAAGCTTCCCTTAAAAGGTGAAGCAAGCAAACCTGCACTGGAATGTCAATGGTCTGTTGAGTATTAATGGTGGCTGTGGCTCCCTCTCCCTCATGAAACTGCAGCGAGGCCTGTGAACCAGCAGTAGGGGGCGATGCATGAACGAAAATAACCTTCTCATGTGATGGCACCATTCCACAGACACGTGCTACGTTCACAGCAGTGAGAATATTGTCACCTGACAGGGCAGAAAAAACTGTGAGACCAAGCATTTCCACTTTACAGCCAGGAGAAAGGCCAACATCAACAATCATTTCAATCTCTAGTGTCAGTTCTTTTAAATCAGTCAATCATAAAGGCAATCATGGTTATAAACAAGATTTTAAATGTTTTTTTATAACATTTATTATTTTTGTACGTACCTGTAACCATCACAGGCCGTAACTGTGCCAGAGTTAAAGTTTGAATGACTTCAGCACTTTCTGGCTTCACTTGGTTCTTCATCACCAACAGACCCAGGAAGTTCATGCCTTTTTCCACCTCCACCCTACAAGCAAACATTTAATCCACAGCTGATTCATATTAAAACCTGACCTTTAGGTTTTTTTTAAGCAACACATTTCGACTTATATCATTATTGAATTCATAAATGTAAATGGTATATAATAATAATGTTATTAAATAAATTAGAAAACCACATGTAATGGAAAACCAACATTTTTTAAAGTATATATCGTTCAATCATTCATTCATTTTCCTTTGGCTTAGTCTCAATGTCAGAGATCGCCACATCGGAATGAACTGCATACTATTCCAGCAGTTTTATGCAGCAGATGCCCTTCCAGCTGCAACCCAGTACTAGGAAACACCCATACACGCTCATTCAGATACACACTCATACACTACAGACAATTTAGTTTATTCAATTCACATATAGCGCATGATTTTGGACAGTGGGGGAAACTGGAGCACCTGGAGGAAACCCACACCAACACGGGGAGAACATGCAAACTCCACAAAGAAATGCCAACAGACCCAGCTGGGATTTTGTTAGCTCACATTGTTAGTTTTGTGGTGACAATTCATCTGTAAATCTCTTTAACAAAATGTTTGCCCTTGTAATCTAAAATTGAAATCTGAAAATGCAATTCCTGTTTGCTTTTAGTTAAATTCCAAGTCTGAGGTATTGGGTGTGGTTAACAAACATAAACATGCAGAAATGGCAAGGAGGAGGTGCTTGTTATAATAATTACCCCGAAACCCATTTCCCGATCTTTCTGAATGAAATGCCTACTTTACCACATCCAATCAGCTAACAGAAAGACAAAAAACAAGCCACATCCACTGTTTTCTCATTTAATATATTTGTTCTATTTTTTTCTCCAAGAACTGCATAACAAAACAAAAAACAGTCGCAGCTTCCAATTTATGCAGAGTTTAAAAAAAAAAACTGTTGAGCAAGAAAATCCTAGAAAAAAAGTAATTTAATTTTCAACACTTGTATATAATTATATCATTTTATATATTAAAATGTCTCCTGTGCAGCGCAAATCAGAATGTTCAAACTATTAAAAAAAGAAAATCATATATAATTATTATATATTAATTATATGAGACACATGATCTTCCAAAATAAATATATGTAAATATTTATTTATTTATTTATTTATTTATATTTTTACAACAGTTCTGTCTGGTTCTCGTACCTATTTGGCTGATAGCCATGCAATATTCTGCAATGTCAGAACTTCTAAAGCTTCCAAGCCCCTCTGTATTACTTCGCCACAGAGTAGCAAATCAATAAACTCACTACAGCTTGACAAATATTGGCTTTTTAGGTGAGAATGCAGTTGTCAATTTTTAAGGATAGTGCCTATTTCAAATATTTATAATTCGTAGATAGAGAGCATCGACATCCATCAGCCTGTCATTGATCAGAGCAAAGACGGTAAACGTTGTCCATCCACAAGAAGGGGACAGAGACTGCATTATAAGAAAAACTCAGTATAATTTCTAACTACAGCAGATCAAAATATGAAATTGGCAAGTGACTTTCCGAGTTGATCTCTCTCTTTTGTATGTTGCAGTGCTGTACTTATACCATAGCAGTTGTAGTATACTGAATGTGAGATCAGACTCGCATATCAAGAATATATGCATTTTGTGTTGCCCACTCTTTGGATAGTCCTAAATTACTTTGTGGTTGGCCATCTGTTTATGTCTATTTAGTCTCCTGTTTTTGTTTCTACAGACTAGTTCAGTAAAAAGAAAGAAAGAAGAAATTCCCTCAAGCGTTTAGCTTTTTTCCATATCTCAAACACAACAGTGGTCTGGTAGTGTTTTGCACTGCTTTGGCTTTTGTTGGCGTTAATTATTGTGATCTCCTTATTGCAACTGAGAATTACTTGGACATCTCAGTAAACTGATGGCATTTCATGCTGTTCAGCCTTATAATCTTAAAATGTGAGCAAAATCACCTGTTTTGTCATCACTTTAGACATTATGCTAGAGAATCATTTAAACACTAGCTCTAAAGTGACGTTAGTCAATTAGTAATGGTTTCTGCTGTTCTGACGTCAGCTGCAGATGTGAATGAATGGCTGAAGAAAGAAATTCCTCATACAAAAAGATTTTAGGACACTCTGTTTTAGATTTTTTTATATACACGATTATGCTGTCAAACATTGTGTATAAACGCAATGTCACACGCGTAGCAGTGCGATATGGCTGTATATCATCACTGATAGGATACTAACGCAGACCTCCCACCAGTGCCGATATTCGCACTGCTACTTGTGTGATATTGTTCATATATATATTCTGATTTTCCCAGAGATGGGTTGCGTAAAAACTTGCTGGATAAGTTGGCGGTTCATTCCGCTGTGGCGACCCCAGATTAATAGAGGGACCAAGCCGACAAGAAAACAAATAAATATATTCTGATTGATCACGTGAATAACTACAAAACTATGGTAATGATTTCTATAAATTGTTTTGAATCAAAGGAATAAATCCCATTTTAAAACATTAATATACAGATTAGATGATTAAAATTGTAGAAACATTTCTTAATATGACACTGTATTTAATACAATAAAAGTTTGCATTTATGAGTATGAAAGACTTCAATAAGAATTCACAACAAAAATCTAACTGACTCTAAACAATCAAACAGTATATAAAACATCTGACCTTTCAACAGTGCTCAGATCAGTCTCTTTAGCGAGGTGCTTGTAGGCAAGTCCAAGGACCCTGAAGCCCTGGCTGGCATACTCCCGGAGAGTATGTGAAAAATGAGAAGGCACTGTCACAAGGAGGGCACAAAGACAGAACAAGAGTAAGTGCAAAAATAAACAGGCAGCGCTCCATATACTCCTGTTCACTCTTCTCAAGGTGAAAGAAGAACCAGGACAAGGTTTAAAAGTCAAGTCCTCACCACTTTCTTTATGGCAGAAGCTGGCCACCATCTCTGGGGCTCCTTTAATAAAAGCAACAGGAGAAAGTTCAGCTGGGCCTACAGTCACCACACTCATCCTCTGCAGAGAAGAGGAGAAAGGGAACCGACGCACGATTGCCACTGGCTGACTGACAGACTGCAAAACACAAAAGATGTTGAAGTAAGATCTATCCAGGGTGAAGAAGATAATCATTGTTTTCTTAGTTTTCCAAAACAGTATCTTCCGCACTTGAAAAAGCATGTTCCACAGACTAAATAAAAAACATTTTCTGAAAAATAAGTCACAGCAGATCAGAGGCAAGATTTACAAACAAAACACCAATCTGTCTTTTTGGGGCTAAAAGTGTAACTTCGGGATTTACTAAACACGAGCAGTAAAAAATTGGTGTGGACAGTTAACTTTGTGCCTCATTTTATTGAATATGCATTTTAGGAGGCTTGTTATATTTAAATAAATCAGACATAACTTACTATTGTTCACACTCCTCAATTTATGGGTATTTGCGCCATTATTTAACACCTAAAAAACATACCTTGAATTTTGCATTTGAAATGGCTGCAGTTGTTGCTTGAGGCGCTGCAACGTGTCACAGTAAAAAGGGGATTTTGGTTTTGTATTCAGTTATTTAAAGTGCCAGAGGAACAGATCATGCCAGGCCATGTTATTTTTAATTTGCTTCAGGAACTAAAAGAAATCTTAGAACCCACAAGAGTCACGCAATACCAGGTCTACCAAACTTCATTTTTTTCCTCTGATTCTTTTCAAAATACTGCAGCTTCCCGTTAATCCCATTTTTCCTGAAACAGTCCTGTATTTCAGCTCTTTTTTTAGTGTCACAAACTGGGAATATGCACACAGACTTTTAATTTTCAGCCCCAGGGCTTCCAGTTAATTGCGTTTAAGGTCTGATATCCTTAAAAAAACAGCGATTTTCACTGCCTGGCTGAGATACGATATAAAGTAGGTATCAGACCAAACAAGAAGCACTGCATTAAATTAGATTTTTCCAAACCATGTCTTTATAATATGGAAATTAATTTTACCCCAGTTTTTCAATGGAATTTCTGCGCTACTAATGACTGCGCCTGCGTTTAAATGCTGTTTTGTCTTTTTTTTTACACTTTAACAACCAAAGGGATGCTTAAGTCTATTTAACTGATTATATTTGAATTACATTACAACATCGTTTCTGCAAAAGGAACTATATGAAATCAAAAATAGACACATAAAGCTTCCACCGGGAGTTCATCATTGGTTGAAAAACACTAGCAGTGCATATGTTTAGTAAATAGGGCCTTACAACTTGCACTGGCTCAAAATTGCATATTCACTTTGGTCTATAAATTCAATTTTATGATTTAAGGATAAACATATTACTGTTTTATATAATATAAATACACATGCACATATAAATACACATAAATATACATTTAGCTACCCCCACAACAAATGTTAAGAGAGAAAAGTTACCCAAGACTGCAATTTTTACTTGCTCTGAGGTAATTTTTTTTGTCCATCAGTATAATACTTTAACTCTCAAAGTACAGATAGCTGTTGACCTACATTTTATAAAATCACAAAGACCCACAGTTTCAACTAAATATCTTCTTTATTTATCTGCTGAAGGAAAAAAAAAGTCACCAATATCTTGTATGATGTTGAAAATCAGCAACAAATGCTCTGTTTTGGGTGAAGTATCCCCTAAAATTTTAATCAAGTACCAAACAAATGGAAATGATGGTGTCATTCATTAAATAACATTTATTATGAAAGCGATTTATCTGAAAGAACACTGAAACCATTCACAACAACAATTCAAATGTGAACATTTTTGTTTGCTTAAAGGGATAGTTCACCCAAAACTGAAAATGTGCTAATTATTAACTCACCCCTCAAGTGGATGTAAAGCTTTCTGAGTTTCTTTGCTTTGTTGAACACAAAAGAAAGTATTTTAAAGAAAGCTGGAAACCTGCAACCATTGACTTTCATAGTTGGAAAAAACAATTAAATGGAAGTCAAGGGTTTTCAGCTTTCTTCAAAATATCTTCTTTTGTGCTCAACAGAGGAAAGAAAGTTCCCTGCCTCCGCATGGGTTTCCTCCAGGTGCTCCGGTTTCCCCCACAGTCCAAAGACATGCGGTACAGGTGAATTGGGTAGGCTAAATTGTCTGTAGTGTATGAGTGTGTATGAATGTGTGTGTGGATGTTTCCCAAAGATGGGTTGCGGCAGGAAGGGCATCCGCTGCGTAAAAACTTGCTGGATAAGTTGGCGGTTCATTCCGCTGTGGCGACCCCGGATTAATAAAGGGACTAAGCCGACAAGAAAATGAATGAATGAGGAAAGAAAGTCAAACAGCTTTGGAACAAGTGAATGGAGTGTAAATTATAACAGAATTTAATTTTTTGGGTAAATTGTCCCTTTAAATGTTAATTATATGACATAAGTATCATTGGAATATAAGTGAGAGCCATTTTCAGATCATAAGAAACGTGATCTTTTTTCTGGAAAAATGCTGTGGTTGGATTTACTTTTTCTTTATTAGCCTTTCTCAATGCATCTTCCTCTAAAAGTCTAAGTCATTTCCTTCTGTTGTCACACCCAGTGTTCTGCAGATGCGTGAACTCACGTTTCCTTCTGTCAGGAGCTCAGATGCAGGAGGTCTCATCACTGCAAGCACTCTGTGTCCCCCAAATTCAGAATCATGTCCCATGTCATTCTCCGGCTCAGTCAGTTCCTGTGAATTGCATGCAAGATGACATCAAAACTCCCCTTAAACTGATTAAACACAACAAAGAAATGAGATGCAAATCCCTAAAATCAGCTCACAGCTTTCCATCATATCCAAACCTGTATGACTTGCTTTCTTCTGTCTTATACTTTGAAGAAAAACAATAACTGTAGAATTTCTCATAATATCCCCAATGTTTGACAGAAGAAAGTTATTCATTCATTTTTGACAACACATGAGGGAGAGTACAAAAGCAGTCATTACCCATCCAGTAGATTCAATCATTTTGAGCTCCAGTGGGTCTCCAAGTGCTTGACCGCCTAGTAAAGCCACAGAATGGCAGGAGGCGAGAGCAGACAGCATCAGACCAGGCTGGAGAAACAAAGGGTCAGGGACCAGCTCTCCAAACACTCCGCCAGTCACTTCCATCACACCCCACACATCCAAACCCTCCTCTGTCAGAGTGCCAGTCTAAAAACAAGCATTCAGTAAGGTCTAAATAAGAGTCGCACCAATTTAAAGACAGATACTATTTAATATTTACAACATTTACATGCATGGGTCTAAAATAAAATATCACAAGGAAATAAGCAATAAAAGGAAATAAAAAGTAAACAACATCTCTTTAAAATATGTATGCATTCTGAAAACGATGTTTGACTGCAACATGTATTGGTCATTTAGTCGTTACTTTCAACAGGATCTTTATATTTAGTAATAGAGCTGCAGAGATCTTATCTGTCATTGCTAACTCTCTTCTGCAAAATGCTGAGTACCACAAGCTAATTCATTTTTTATGTCTGAGAGATGAAAATGAAGGGATGAAACAAGTAAAGAGCTTTAATTTAATCATTTTAAATCTGTAAATTCTGACAATTTCAAGTACACAATATATATAGAAATTTCTTTTCTAGGTAATATTTTTAAGAAATTCCTTATAACATGCAGATTATTTCAAATGTGTATAACAAATAAACACACACACACACACACACACACACACACACACACACACACACACACACACACACACACACACACACACTTTTAAACAATAGTTTTAATAACTAATGTCTAATAACTGATTTATTTTATCTTTGTCACAATGACAGTAAATAATATTTTACTAAATATTTTTCAGGACACTTCTATACAGCTTAAAGTGACATTTAAAGGCTTAACTACATTATTAGGCAAGTTATTGTATAATCATGGTTTATAGACTATCCACAAAAATATAGCTTAAAGAGGCTAATAATTTTGTCCTTAAAAATTTAATCTGTTTTTATTCTAGCCAAAATAAAACAAATAAGACTTTCTCCAGGAGAAAAAAATATTATCAGAAAAAAAAATTTGCTTGCTCTGTTAAACATTATTTGGGAAATATTTAAAAAAATAAAAAAATCAAGGGGTGCTAATAATTTTGACATAAGCTTAACTAGGTTAATTGGGCAGGTAAGGGTAATTAGGCTAGTTATTGAATAATGATGGTTTGTTCTGATGACTATCAAAAAAATATATATAGCTTAAAGGGTCTAATAATTCCGATTGTCCTAACTATACGAATACAGGGAAAGCAATCAAAATAAAAATTATAGACAAAAGACAAAAAAATTATAATAAAAAACCTACATCACCAATCATTCCCTACCAGACCCATTTACAATAAAACAAAACGTATGATAAAGACTTATTTTACAATGCACAAAAAATGATACATTATCCCATAGTGTTTCCATTAAGACAGGACGAAAGGGTGCCAGATTTTGTTAAATACTTCAATTTTGTGCATCAAACAGCATTTACCTTGTTCCAAGTGTAAAGTATAATTCAACTATCCAAGATATAACTTGACTGTAAAAGCTTACTTTCACTTCAATAAAAACGACTGCAATTAATATGCTAAATTTACATATACTATATTAAAATTCATTCATTCTATTTTTCTTCAGCTTAGTCACTTTATTCATTAGGGGTCACGACTGCAGAATGAACCGCAGACTTATCCAGCATATGTTTTACATAGCGGATGCCCTTTCAGCTGAAACCCAGTACTGGGAAACATCCATAAACAATCATTCACATTCATACACTACAGATAATTTAGTTTATTCAATTCACCTGTACCGCATGTCTTTGAACTGTGGGGGAAACCAGAGCACCCGCAGGAAACCCACGCGATCACAGGGAGAACATGTAAAATCCACACAGAAATGCCAACTGACTCAGTTAAGACTCAAACCAGCGACCGTCGCGCTGTGAGGTGATAGTGTTAACCACTGACCCACAGTGTTGCCCTATATTAAAATATATATTTAAAATATAATCTTGTCAATAAATGTATCCACACTAACTAATTTAAGCGTAAACGTCCTACAGCCAGCAGATCTGGCATGGGGAGTGGTCTCAAGCTGGCTATAAAAGAAATATGATCTTTACTGGTGTAACCTGAATCACTGATGACGTAATCGCTACACAAACAGACACTATGGACTGAGTAATAAAACAAAGTTTATTTTAACATCCTGAAGCCAATTATAAGATTAGGGAAATGTTTAAAACGGCAGTAGCACTTGTTCGTTTTTTAATTTCACAATCGGTCTGTGTCTCTACTGTGTTTTTTAATACGTTTTTCGGGTGTATTAAGACAGGATTGTATTTATTATTTGACAGGGAGAAAAGTAAGAGAAAGAGAGGAGGTTAATGACATCGGAAAAGGTCTACAAGCCAGGACTTGAACTAGGGATTCCCAAAGCACAATGGCCCTGTATGTTGAACAGCTAACAGGCCCAACCAAATCCAGTAAATTCAGGGGTCACTGGCGTGAGAAAAAAAATTGGCCTTGATCATTGGAATTAAAGACCTTTGTCATTCCGGAAATCTCAAATCTTCTTCATTATGAACATATATCATTTATTTAATCAAGCACTAAACCTGCTCATTTGAAGCATCACATGCTGTCAAAAGCATCACATACTGTTTGATGTGTATATGGATCGTAGTCAGAATATGATTAATATGACTATTATTGCCGTTTTTGCAGTATAAATGGTGGTTTTGCTAGTACTAATGTGCATTTTTAAAAATATACATTTTAGGTTTTTTATTCACCTTATTCTCCATATACCAGAGGACATTCATTTTTAGATGTTAAAAACAGCTCGTTTTGCTGCTTGGTGTTGCAAACTGATATTTTCTTATTATATTATTCTACTTTGTCTGTATAGTCATGCAAACACTTGTTTGTAGAGCAAGTAATTTGACCATTTTCTGACGCTTATTATTCCTAGTCATTTCTCCCATACGCAGCTGAATCGGAAGTTCTAAAACAATCGCAAAAACGAGCACACTTCCGCATTGAAGAATAAGGTCAATACCCTTAACTTTTGACAGGACAGTAGATAGTGTAGGCGGCAAACAGGGAACAGTATCGGCAAAAGACCTCAAGTCAGCAATTCGCCTCAAGCACCTTAGTCACCATGCTAACCGCAAGGCTCCTAATGGCCACTAATGTGGATTTTTAATATCTGAAACCTAAAATAGGTGTTATGTGAAAAAAAAACACTGATAAGTTTCTCTGGCTCACTACCAGCCTTCACGGGAAAGCAGATTTAAATTTAGTAGCTGATTAACCACTGCACTGAACATTCAAATCATGCCAATATAATCGTACACTCCAGAGAACAACACTGATCATTTTGGTGTAGTGAACTCATCAAGGGGTAATGAGCAGTCACTGAAAAGGAGAAAATTTTGTAGTAAGTGCCAGTGTTGATCGAAAATGATGTAAGAGTCACATGAATGCTGACAGAACTGTTCACACTTCAGTGGCACTGCAAAACATCAAAAATGTATCAAATTTTATGCCACATATAATAGCGCCACAAATTGGGATTTGAAAAAAATCTGACTGCTTACACTGTCAAGGCAATAAAAAATCAGAGTCACATAAAAAAAGGGCAAAGAAATCTGATTTGGGCCACATGTGCATAAAGTGTGAATGTAGCCTTATGTTAAAAAGTCTGCTGACAAACACAACTATCTTGACTTGTCTGCTTTAAACAACTCCTTTATGTCTATGTTAAGTTTATTAGTAATCAAAAATTTAAACTATTGGTCTGAAAACATTTTCTTTAACTGAAATTGCACAAAAAAAGTAAACTAGGCATGTTTAACTACACATGGCCTACCAAATGGTTGACCATATTTTGACTGTTTTAATAATGGTTTACACACACAGCATTGTTGCTTTAGAAAAATAATAATAATAAATAAAATCAAACAAACATAATCCTTTTGCAATACTACACTTGATTTTGGTTTTATTGTAAAAAAAAAACAAAAAAAAGAGAGAAGGTGTTAAATGAGAATCTAAAATATGTTATAGCATACTTCAAAAAATAAAGATGATTTAGTATTCAAAAATGCTTTATTTTGATTTTGTTTTTAAATACATTTGTCTTGCACATCATTTTTTCAGATTTTTCATAGTATATGTAATAATTACGGTACTTTTACCATGAACCGACATATCTACCATTTGGTAGAGGTTGATATCTTAGAAATGATGGGATGTGTTGAAAAAAATGCATTGATTGTGTAAGTTAAGAAATGCAATCCAAACTTTTTTTTTTCTTTTTGGAGGGGCAGTTAAAGGGTTAACATGAAGTTTGCCTTAAATCTTCATATTATTTTGACTTTCTTACTAAGAGGTTTGCACAAGAGGTAATGTAAGCTGTATAAACATTAAGCTTTGCTTTGGTTGACTCTAGATGTGTTCTGTTCTGCTCTGCTCAACTAGAATTGGCAAAACTAAAACCGAAACCAAATATATAAAAACAAATTAGAAACGTGTACAAAATAAAAACCTAAACTAACAAAACCATTTAATGAAACTAATTAAAAGTAAACAGAAATTTACACCGATTAAAAAAATAAAACCTAACTCAAAAAAAAAATGCTAAACTGTAGTAACTTTGGTCTCTGTACAGAGCCAGTGTCAAGAGAAGGTTTATTTGTAAGGGCATCCTGGATTGCATCAGAAGACTATGTTTATTTTATTTCCCTCTGAGCATTTGACTGTAGAATGTTTGTTGAAAGAGGAAGCAGTCAGCTGTACAATCCATGAGATCAGCTGAAATGAATAATACTTTTTTCTGTAAATAATGCTTTTATATGGATAATATTTGCTATGTCATGACGTTTGCTAATCAAAACACTGGCTGTTTTCTGGTAAGTCACAGGACCTGTATCTTAAAAACAACAGGAAGGACAGCATTTCTAATGAAGTGATATAGATCATCTTCACAAATCGCATTGTCTCACCTTATCAAAGCAGAAAAGTGATATCTTGCCACAGATGTTAATGCGAGGCGGGCTAATGCAGAAAACCCCCTGACGCTTCAGCCGATTCTGGGCGTAGATGGTCGCTGTAGTTATAGCAGCAGGAAGAGCAGGTGGGACTATAATTGTCACAATATCCAGAGAGCGGATGATTAGTTCTTTCCAGGGTGTCTGAGAGCAGAAGAAGTGGACACATATAGAAATTCAAGAAGATTTTAAGCAGAAATCATTGTAAAGACAGCTGTAGGATTTATTTGGGTAGAATATCATTTTAAACCAAATTAAAGTAGTGCAAGAAACCTTGAGTTGGACGTGGTGTTCCATTCAAGTCATAAACTTATTGGTTGTGTGTACATACCTGTATATATATATATATAAAACTTACATTGCTCTTTGAAAGAATCACAAGGCTGTAAATGGTGCCGATCAGAGCTGAAACACACATTGATATTGATTAAGGCTCACCAATATGAGGATAAAACATGAACTAATGTCCTCATATCACATGTAAAAGAGTACTACTTATACTACTTACCCAGAAGTCCTAGAAAAAGAAGGAACTTCATGGCATCTCGGTAAAAGCGGAAGTCTAAGGGCTGAGGGTAGAGAATAGAGCTAATAAGGTCTCCTTTGGCAGTTAAAAAACCTAAGGAACAGAAATGAAAGTAGTCTTGTGACAAAACAAAAGGACTTTTCTGAAAATTCTGTAGCTCTAACTGTAGAAAACTACAATCAATCAGACATGTTTAAAGTGCATTCAGTCAGTTGAATGTGTAATGCATCTACTATGATTAATAAATTTAGGCAAGTATGATTTATTTATTTTTTTATTAAAGGATCATCTTAGGCTTCAATTAATGATAAAAATACAGAGATAATGTTAAATAGTATTACAATTTGTTGGCACCTCCACACTCCCTGGACCGGAAACACTGGCTGTATAAGTTTTTGGACATTGCAAACATGGAACTGTCTGTGGTGAGGATGCATGGCGCTTTGACAAAAACTATTACCTTATGAATATGTGCAATAACTAAGATAAAAGATAGGCCATTATGATTATTTTATTTTATTTAACCTTTGTGTAAAAATACAATGTATCTACTGTACCTTTGTTAAAAGTGTTTTTATAAGAAGTTAAATGCAGAGGTACATTTATTTATTTACATGTATTGTAATGTTTCTCCTTTTTTCTCTTTTATTTATTTCTTTATTATTATTATTATTATTATTATTATTATTAATTATTATTATTATTCTCTCTAACTTCTTGTTTTGGTTCTGATTTGTTTCCTTTTTTGTTTAATTATTTATCATTTTCGCCAGGGGTAGGTGGCTTGGCGTGTTAATAAAAAACGCATTTGGTTGCCATTCTTGTCTATAACAATCTATGTCAGTTTATTTCCAACTGTTTAATAAAAATTTGATCGAAAAAAATATTATCACAATTTATAATACCACTATTCAGTTTTCTATTTTTTAAAATGCGATTGCTCATAATGGTAAAAGTAAACTTTAAGCAGCCAAAACTCCAGTCTTCAGTGCCATATGATTATTTTGGTGCCCATGAAACATTTTGTGGAAACCATGACACATTTTGTGCAATTCTTTGACAAAAAAGCAACAACATTTATTTGTAACAGAAATTATATACATACATACAGTTGAAGTCAGAATTATTAGTCCCCCTTTGAATTTTTTTTCTTTGTTTAATTATTTCCCAAATGATGTTTAACAGAGCAAGGAAATTTTATACAATTTTTTAAAACCATTTTAAGGTGGGCGAGGCAGTGGCGCAGTAGGTAGTGCTGTCGCCTCACAGCAAGAAGGTAGCTGGTTCGAACCTCGGCTCAGTTGGCGTTTCTCTGTGGAGTTTGCATGTTCTCCCTGCCTTCGCGTGGGTTTCTTCCGGGTGCTCCGAAGTGTCCAAAGACATGTGGTACAGGTAAATTGGGTAGGCTAAATTGTCCGTAGTGTATGAGTGTGTGTGTGATTGTGTGTGTGGATGTTTCCCAGAGATAGGTTGCGGCTGGAAGGGCATCCACTGCGTAAAAAGTTGGCGGCTCATTCCGCTGTGGCGACCCCGATTTAATAAAGGGACTAAGCCAACAAGAAAATGAATGAATGACCATTTTAAGGTCAAAATTATTAGCCCCTTTAAGCTATATATTTTTCCGATAGTCTACAGAACAAACCATCATTATACAATATACATCGATATACTTGCCTAATTACCCTCTCCTGCCTAGTTACCCTAATTAACCTAGTTAAGCCTTTAAATGTCACTTTAAGCTGTATAAAAGTATCTTAAAAATATCTAGTGAAACATTATTTACTGTCATCATGGAAAAGATAAAATAAATCAGTTATTAGAAATGAGTTATTAACATTAATATGTTTAGAAATGTGTTGAAAAAATCTGCTTACCGTTAAACAGAAATTGGGAGAAAAAATAAATGGGGGCTAATAATTCAGGGGGGCTAATAATTCAGACTTCAACAGAACATTTTCATGAATCCTAACAATCTTCACAACAATAAAATCTTTATTGTCAGTATTAAGTAATGTAATTTGCCGTTGATGAATTGATGAAAGTATTATTACAAATTTTTTTTTTTAAATCTTAAATGTATTGTTTATTAAAAACACATTGTATTAGCTTATAAAAATCACCTGTGCATGTTACGACAGCAATAGCCCCTTTTCCAGGACCACCTCCTTTAGCCTGGATAATCTGTGTGCCACAAAACAAAGTGTGTCTGCGCTGAGACTCCGGATTATATGTGGCCTCAGAATTAGACAATGGCGTCTTCATCACAGGTATGCTCTCACCTACAAGCAAAGGGCCAAAGAACAAACATATCAAGAAAAAGAACACTTGTTAATTAGTGACATGGACAGTGTTTCTCTGCACTTGTTGCATCCTGATTTACAAAAAACAAAAAAATGTCTGACCATTTGGGATTATGCACAGACGTAAACATTTTCAGTAGTATAACAGCACACCGTGAGTGTATATTAACAATATTTGTTGTTCAATTTTGCCATCTGATATAGCATTTGGACCAAGAAATTGTGACTCAACAAAGATGCACAATTTCACAGACGCTCAGTATTTTCTCACCAGTCAGCATGCTTTCGTTCACCATGCACTCCCCGGCCACCAGGGCAGCATCACAGGGCAAGAGCAAACCCTCAGCTGGAATTACAACACAGTCTCCTGGAACAAGCTCTTCAGAGCTCACACACTCCTCCTCTAGAAAACACACACACACATAAACAGGTTAGCACAAAGAAAAAGCCACTTTGATGGTTGCTTATTTTTGCTGTTTAGTAAGCAACATCACCTCCGGTGTCCCTGCGCACAGTAACGTTCACTATCAAACAGGCCATGCGGCGGAGAGTGGTGCTTTGCTGCAGAGACATAAATAAAACAACTTCTCATTATGTGTAATTAAATTAAGAAGGCTTAAAGGAGCAACCATAATGTTTGCATACCTTACGCGTTTCATAAAGGGACACTCCAATTGAAATTAAAGATATGATGAAGATGCAAGCTGCATAATAGACATATCCATCTGACATCCACAGGATGATACTAAACACTTGAAATATGTAGAACGGATTGAGCACCTAAACAATACAAGGAAAGAAAGAATTTCCAAATATAAAAAAAAAAAAAAAAATAAATAAAAAGTTGCACAATGTTAATTTTTAAGTTGGCAAAAAAACAAAACATGGATAAATCACACTTGAAGTCGAATTTCATAATTTAACTTAAAAAAATATATAAAATAGGTTGTCAATAGTCCTAAATAAAACATTTATAAACATAATATGTATTTTCATTTGCCCTAATCCACAACAAATCCTTTGAATTAAGGATTCACAATATACTGGCAAAAATATTGGTAAGTGCTTATTTTTACCAATATTGTTTTAGGCTCAATAAGATAATTATTCACCTGCTATATTAAAGCTCATAAATAATAGATTTCTGCCAGTTCAGATGCATGCTGCTGGCCATTAGGGCTTTGACTGGTGCCTTCCACATGTCATGACGTGTTGCATGCAACAAACACATACTTTAGAAATGTTTTAACTAAAGAGAATACAAGATGTTTGCAAGATATGTGTTTGTTATCAGTTTCCAAGAAATAAAACAGTCACAGTGGGGCATTCCGAAATTCAATAGAATTGAGAACAGGACGAAGGAATAAAAATTCTGGTATACATTAAAATGAAATTACAGAGACTTAATATAGAGATTTAATGGCCAAATTTAACAAATTTGAAATAACACTGAAACCAAGTTGTGGAAAGCCTGTTATACAAATACTCTGTTCCTCTCTTATGTAGCACGAACGCAAATGTATGTCACTTTGACATGCATTGCATTATACAATTCACAGCATGTTTAACGGATATAAAAACTATGCTGATACAATAAAAAGTTAAATATTCTGGAAAATGTGGTACTAATATAGGCTCAATTACTATTTAAAGGAATAGTTTAGCCAATTTTGGAAACCTGTAAACATTGACTTAACATTTTTCCCTACTATGGCAGTAAATAGTTAAAGGTTTCTAACATTTTTCTAAATATCTGCTTTTGTGTTTAACAAAAAAAGAAAAATCATAAAGGTATTGAACCACTTGAAGAGTAAATGGTGAGTACATTTTCATTTTTGGGTGAACGATCGCTTTTTTATTATATAAGGGCCATTAATGCAAAATATTTTTTTTACAGAAAATAAATATTTACCTCTTCGAAGAGAAGCTGCAGGTAAGACTTGACTGGTACGTCAATGATATTGGCCCCAAAAATCTGTTTCCTAAAAGAAAAAAAGAGTGCATAAGATTGTGTGTTGCATGAATTATGTTAATATCTCATAAAGACATAGAAAACAGTACAGACCTTGTGCTCTGGTCTGCTCGACTCAGTCCTTGCTGTTGACCATGCAGGTCAGCGCAGGTCCAGCCTTCACTGAGAACACTGGAGACAGATGATCATTTGTCATCACATTATTTCAAACAGCTTTATAACTCTGGAGAAAGGAAACTAATAAACACATTAGACAGTACCTTGCTTTGCAAAAGGCTCCTTTCTTGGAGATCCATATGTAGCGCATGCCCTCAAACACATAGTATCTGAGTAGTGTTTTCTAGAAAACAAGATAGGGTCAAGCTGATGAAGATGTAATGTGTAATGTACAGTCTGTTTTTATTCCACTCTTTTTTACCTTTTCACTGTGTAGCTGCACAGTGTCTCTCCATTCATTCTCATCCGCATCACCTACTGCAAAGTCCAGACTAAAAAGAGTTCAACATAAGTGTTATACAAGAATAGCTTACAAAACAGCTCCATAAATGTTAGAGTATTATTATTTACCCATTAAAATAATAATACTCTACAGTGTCCATCTGGATTCTCATTTGTTTAACTCAAATTCAATTCAGCTCAACAAATACACATAACATAACAAACATAACACATAAGCGCTTCACCATTTCAATTATATTTTTTCTGAATAAAATCACTAACTAAAAAAATTATATATATATATATATATATATATATATATATATATATATATATATATATATATATATAATTTTTGTGATAGGGATTTTATATATTATATATTTATTATATATATATAATTTTATAACTCTTATTTTCATATTTTTTGTAATACAAATACAGAAAATGGGTTTTATGTTTTTCAATAAAACAACAAAACTGTTATACAACTTTCAATTTATTTTACTTGCATTTATTTAAATTTTCTTTGACCCATATAAATCTACAAATGTTTATACATTCATAACTTCTCATAAAATCTTGTTTTTAAAACCAAACAATGTATTAGTTTTTCTCAGTCACTTTGGTCCATTTCACAGATCAGAATTAAAATTCTCAAAACTACCTGTGTAATCTTCAGATCATTGTGTCACTCTCAGCAGTGAATATTAAATCACACTGAACTAAACTGTAGAAGCGTTATACAAATAAAGATTAATTGAATTGAACTTGTGCAGATCAAAAAAAGCAGTTTTTCAGTCCTTTGAACAAGTTACAAATGCTTTTGTACATCCATGCAAATGATGATGTGAAATTCTCTGATGCTTCCTGCATTATCAATTGCGTATGTCATGTTGATCAAAATGTATTATTTTGGTCTCTGTTAAATAGTCTCACCCCTACAACATTCAATATCTTGTTCATGGCATAAGTCTTCACATGCAAAATGGCTGAACAGGTTGTCATAATATTTTATCATAATGACTTTTTCTTAACATTTTCATTCAATTGGTACATTTCTCCCAAGTGATTCTTGACTTTTTCTAATGAAGGTGCATCTCAAAGCAGATTTTTTTCATCTTCTTTTTCATTTCTGTATCACAATGACATGATCTGACAATAAATTACAGCACAAACAGCAAAAAAGACATAGTTTACATCAGAACACCTCTCGAACACAGTTATATTGACAACATGACTAAGTGTTTTGACTGTCTTATCCGTACACACTGACAGCAGGACTTGTCATTCTGACAGCACTGACACGTGCATTTAACACAGAAAGGTAGTTTTGAGAGATGAACTAAGGATTTTGAGCAAAAGACTGGCTCTTGCAGGTCATCCATGGTGTTTTTCTATTTGTAGGCGTTGTTTTGAGAAATGCACTTGCTGTTTTGCAAATTTCAATTCTAATCTGAGAAATATACCAAAGAGACTGAGAAAAACTTTAACACAAGCAGCAGGTTCCTTTCTAAACGACAGGGATAAAACACATGATTACAAAAGGAGAAGCATGAGAACACAATGAACTGTGAGTCTCACCTGCCTTCCTCAACCTCCTCTGTAATCACATCCACCACAAACTGCTGTCCATATCTGTCCTGTTATAATAAAACAAAAAAAACATGCTTCCTCATTATGGACAAGCAGTGAGCTCGTTTAAAAAGTTACATCAATACAAATGGATACAAGAATACAAGAAAGTAGCATAAAGACAAAGTACCTTTAATAATAAAACATCCGCCATTGAAATGGGACAGGACTTGCATCGGGCCAGTATGCCAATACGAGGACGCCATTTGAAGAGCACGAGCAGCAGGCCGACAGAAAATACTGCCCCAATTCGGCACAACCACACCTTCCAGCACACCCATCTGTACCCCTGAACGTCCTGAGAAACAAACCACATCACATTATAAAATGAACAGTGCTAAACTAACAATTTATTGTTCACAACATTCCAACACAGTACCATATGTGAGACGAGACTGAGCTCTGGGGGTCTTGGATCCTTTATGAGGGGTTCAGTGTCAGGGGAGGAGGATGCCCCATCCAGCCCCGGGACACAGTTCCCTGAAAGAAAATATCCTGATCAGCTGCGGTCCTTAAAACATTAGTGCAAACACAGTAAATAAACTTTGTAGCGCACACATCACTCCCGTTTGGTAAATACAAGATCGCTCTTCAGTATGTCTTTATGACATCAGTAGGGATCAACATGAGGTTTAATGTTGACGTTTAATAAAATACGTCCACGTTGTGAATAACCAGCTGGCAGATTAAGTTGACGTCTTGTGTTGTATGAAGTTAATAGATGCCATCAGATTTATTTTGAATGATATGGTTTTATTTGTCAATATTAGCTTAACACATGATACTTAATTAGAAATATTAACAACAACAATAATAATAATAATAATAATAATAATAATAATAATAGTAAAATGCAATTATTTAGTACATATAGCTGGGTACAAATGAAAAATGCTTGTAAATGCATCTTTATTTCAAGTCAAACTTGAGGAACTTGAGATCCTGGAGTTTTTCCAGGTCAAAAAAAGACTGTAAAGGAGAAGATCAAAACTGAAAACATCGTATTTCTCTTTTTTTTTAGATCATGTGCTTACTTTGTGATGTTTAAACATCTAGAAAAACAAAAAACAAGCAAAGCAGAAGAAGAAATGCTGACTTTTACTTTACAGATGCTTTTTAAACCAAAGTGACACTCAGCAAAACAACTGATTTTTATCATTAAGTTAATTTATATCTAAATTACTGTCGAATAGTTGTAGGAAATATTTATATTGAGTAATATAACAGCTTAAACTGACCAATAGATAGGATGGACACAAAATAAAATACACTGCTTGTGCTTTGTTTAAAGAATCTTCTTACAGTTTTATTACAGTGCTTGAAATACAGGTTTTACCACATCAGAAGAGTGGAGAAGAAGACAACAGACAATGAAAGCCTGTAGCAAATGTGCTGGAAACATAACACCAAAGCCTTAATTCAGAAGTCCAACAAACTTTGATTCAACCTCGAGACAAGTATTTACACAACGTATTAAAGGAATTTTAGTCAATCCAACAATTAACATTGGCATTAACACTAGAAACGATGCGTAAATTTCAAAGAAAGATAAAGAGGTAACTTACCGCCCTTCTCTGGTAGAAGTAACGTTACCGAGCTAAACTTCCACGAGATTTGTCTACGACATTACAGTTTATACTAAGTAAAATATCCACAACATCAATAAACCCAAAAGTGAAACACGAAATGCCCCCGTTACCGCTCAGGTACACCTCCCCACGCAAGAACCACCATCTCCGCCTACATTTCACTATTAACCTGTAATGAGAAGACTCTTTTCTGCGACTCGGCTCTTTCAAACCGCGCCTAACAAAGAATTGGCTCGAGTCGATTCATTTCATGGCAAATCAAGCACCGAGAGAAAAAAGATCCGACTCCAATGAACAATTTCCTCACGACACGAACAGAACAATTCAGTTTTTATTTTAAATCACAGTCTGCACATCACATGCCCTCATATTCGTTTCTGTGGTCTGTATAATTTTACTAGATTACTAAAACAACAAATACACAGTATAAACAGCACGACAGTCTACAATTACAAAGTCAAGAAACTTAAGAAATGTGACAGCCAAGATGTTCTCCTCACTGACTCTCAACAATTACAACAGCACCAAGACAGCATATAAGTTACAGTTTTATTCAAATGTCATGCGAATTACACTTACAGCCTGTAAATACATGAAATTATTATGACTGTCAAAAAGACTTTATGGGCTGCGATTGTTTCCTACGTTCAGCTTTAGTGGCATTTTATTCATTACAGCATGCGCAGGAGAATGCACTTACCTTTAGCATCCATCTGTGAACTAAAGGGTGAATGCTAAAGCTCATACTTTCCCCTCTAGAGTCATTATTTTACACACACAACAGCAGAAACTAACAGTTTCTGAATCAGCTGTCAGTTTTAGGAATGTGACGTCATAGCTCTTCTTCCTTTACGTTCTTTTGTCATCTCAGCAACTGAACACCGCCACCTGGAGGACATCATGACACATGACTGTGATCTTAAACATGCAGGTATCTTTATATGTGTTACAAGAAACTACAGCCCACAGAACAAAATAATATTGGTTAATTTTGTGTAAAATTCAATTTTTGTAGGTTTCTGCATTATGATGCTTCTGATTTACATGAACATTAAACACAGGTCTCCGTTCTCAAACAAGATAATCAATATTAGCACAACACTCTTACACATCAGTGTAAATAAACTCAATGTAAACCATTTTTTGTATTTTTTAAACAAGAATTGGTACTGTACTTGAAAACCAGAGTTTCATAACAAGAAAGCGGTTAAACGTCTAAAACATGTGCTTTTTTAATATTCTGCATTCATTTGTATTATTTTTCCATATGCCCTCTCTTATTTATTTCTTTTGCATTATTATTTTTTATTGTTTCTTCTTTTTCTTTCTTTTGCTTCACCATTGTTATATTTCTTTAAAACTGTCACATTTCTCTTGTTGCAAAAAAGTTATATCAGTACTGTTTGTACTATACTTCTGTCTGTTTGTATTTCTATATGTTGTAATTGCATGTTGTTATTGCAATAAAAATAGCACAACACTCCACACTGTTTTATACATTTTTGCACTAATTTAAAGCATTAAGTATGTGAGCTTTCCCCAATGAACATGTCAGATGGCAGCCGATTTCTTTTCTTTGTAAGTGCACCATCATTTTCTAAACTTCTGCTATGCCCCCTAAACAGGAGAAAAGACAATGCAAATTTAAAAACCATTCAAATAGGAGACAGTAAAGATTATTTTAATGAAAATAAAAGTTAAAGGTAGCAATGGAATTTGACACCAAAACGGCCGAGAGGGTCTCCGTATCCTGTATCCATAAACTGTAGTTGTCTGGGTGGATGTGGAAAATTTTCTTAGAAGGAAAACAAATATTGTGTTCAAGTTACAAAATTTGGATATTTGCTTTTATTCTGCCTATACATGCAAAAAAATACCTTTCTTGAACAATTTTTGTTATTATGGGAAAGTTTCATAAACATTAAAAAATGGACTGGATCAAAGCCAAATTTAGTTCATTTTCTTCAAGAGCCTAAGGACTACTGCACAAGTTTGGAGATCATTGTTGATAAAAAAAAAAGCAAAGTAGACTTGTAATATTCTTAAGGAATATACGATTTTTTTAATTACTGAATGTTTTTATGTACACTCTGGCATTTATTTTTGTGTATTACTGTATAATTCTGTATTTGTTGTAAAAAAAATTTAAAAAAACGGCTTGTGTAAATGGTGGCCTGTTAATTCCCCTGCCTCTCTTTCTCTGTTTAATTTACTGAATCTAATTTCTTTAACTTAATAAAGAACCATCAAAAAAAAAAAAAAAAAAAAAAAGACTGTAAAAGAGTGTATCATATCTAACATTGCATTACTGAGATATAGTAATAGCAAGGTATAGCAAGTCTGCATTCAGATACTATTTAAACGGCCTACCTTTTGGGACATGTATACTTGTACAATTCAAGTGTTTGACCGATAAAGAAAGAAAGGTTCCTGTAATTTGGACAGGTGCTCTTCCATGAATCAATCATCCACCTATAGTTGAAGTCAGAAATATTAGCCGCCCTTTGAACTTTTTTTTCTTTTAAAAATATTTCTCAAATGATGTCAAACAGAGCAAGGAAATATTCCCAGTATGTCTGATAATATTTTTTCTTCTGGAGAAAGTCTTATTTGTTTTATTTCGGCTAGAACAACAGCAGATTTTAATTTTTTAAACACCATTTTTTTTCAATAGTCTACAGAACAAATCATCGTTATACAATAACTTGCCTAATTACCCTAACCAGCCTAGTTAACCTAATTAACCTAGTTAAGCTTTTGAATATTACTTTGAGATGTATTGAAGCATCTTGTAAAATATTTGGTAAAATATTATTTACTGTCATCATGGCAAAGATAAAATAAATCAGTAGAGATGAGTCATTAAACTGTTATGTTTATAAATATGTTGGAAAAAATCTTCTCTTCATTAAACAGAAATTTGGGGGGGGGGGGGGGAACAGGGTGGCTAATAATTCAAAGTGGCTAATAATTCTGACTTTAACTGTAAATACCTGGAAGGAAAGAAAGAAAGAAAGAAAGAAAGAAAGAAAAAAGAAAGAAAGAAAGAAAGAAAGAAGGAAAGAAAGAAAGAAAGAAAGAAAGAAAGAAAGAAAGAAAGACAGAAAGAAAGAAAGAAAGAAAGAAAGAAAAAAAAGAAAGAAAGAAAGAAAGAAAGAAAGAAAGAAAGAAAGAAAGAAAGAAAGAAAGAAAGAAAGAAAGAAAGAAAGAAAGAAATCCTCTTTTGCTGACCAAACTTGTTGCTTTTAAGGTGATATATAAAAGAACTTGACCTAATGCTATTTTTTCTGGCTCACAATGGCAGGTCAATCTGGTTGAAATAGCCTCAAGGAAAGCTGTAATAAATAACTGCATGAGCACAGCTGAATCAAGATACTTGCCTCCATTCCACCAACTAAGACATATTATTCTGCAGCACACACACAGTATGCATTCATACAGCCTGTCTTGTCAGCATGGGAAAGAGTTGGTTAAAAAAAATCTTTAGCAAAGATAACAATCACCCTTAAGATTGACAAAATCTGCAGATATTCAAACCTTTTGGCTTTTGGTCATCGACTGTCTGCAGGCTCTTCTTCATGCTTTGACTCATCCTTCTTCTTTAGATAGGGCTTAATAGACTTGTACAGTTTATAGAAGTTGCTTGTATCCTTATATAATGGCAAAAGATTCAGAACATTGATTTATTTGATCATACAGGAATACTTGAAAAAATGTCAACATATACAGCATGTAAATAAACTAAATAACAGCAACAATGACCATTTAGATTCTATTTGACAAATATTTTTTTGTTGTTGTTTTAAACATGAATATAATGTTGTAGCCCTTTCCATAGCTTCTGTATACAAATGAAAAATAAACAAATACAATCATTTATTGATTATATATTTTTTTATGTGTTTCGGACAATCTCCTTTAAAGATAAAATTGTAATGGCACACCTTTTGTGCACATCCTTGTGTACCACCTTTTGCAGCTTCGTTTCCAACAACCAGTATTTGAAAAAACGCGAGTAAGACCGAATCTTCTTTAAAAAATTGTTTACTAAAGAAATGCAAACAAAAATACAAAGTTACAATAGACTCGATATGGCTCTGTCAAAAAAAACTGTTGCTTCCAACATCCATAACTGCAATAACCTAAACGTATGAACTAATGACCTCATGACGTATTACTGTCAGACACTAAAATACCAAAGTAAAGTTTTTAAATTGTATCAATTATTAAACTATGCATTTTAGATAATACAATCACTATGAATTATTATTGTATTTAAATATTAATTTCCCTCATGTTTTAACCTTTTAAAACAAATTATTATCACAAATGAATTATGCATAACTGGCTCATACAAAGATGTATATACAGTTGAAGTCAGAATTATTAGCCCCCTTTTGATTTAAATATTTCCCAAATGATGTTTAACAGAGCAAGGAAATTTTCACAGTATGTCTGATAATATTTTTTCTTCTGGAGAAAGTCTTATTTGTTTTATTTCAGCTAGAATAAAAACAGTTATTAATTTTTTAAAAACATTTTAAGGACAATATTATTAGCCCTTTTAAGCTATTTTTTTTCTTGATAATCTACAGAACAAACCATCTGTATACAATAACTTGCCTAATTACCCTAACCTGCCTAGTTAACCTTATTAACCTAGTTAAGCATTTAAATATCACTTTAAACTGTATAGAAGAGTCTTAAAAAATATCAAGTAAAATATTATTTACTGTCATTTTGACAAAGAGAAAATAAATCTGTTATTAGAAATACATTTTTAAAACTATTATGATTAGAAATGTGCTGAAACAATTTTCCCTCCATTAAACAGAAATTGAGGGAAAAAATAAACAGGGGCGCTAATAATTCAGGGGGCTAATAATTCTGACTTCAACTGTATATCTTTCACAACATACATGTGAGGCAGGGGGTAAATCTTTGTCACTTTGCTGGTATTTAAATCTATTCTGTTTAAACAGGCTAATGTGCAAATGTTCCAAAGTGGATGTGGAAGACATTTTGAAGAAAGCTGAAAACCTGTAACTATTGACATCCAAAGTGAGTACAAGAAATACTATCAATGGTTACAGGTTTTCAGATTACTTCGAAAAAATCTTCTTTTGTGTTGAACAGGAGAAAAAAGTCAAATAGCTTTGGAACAAGTGAGGTCAGTAAATAAATGACGACAGAATTTTCAGGTTTGGTTGAACTACTTCTTAAAGCACTAGAATAAATATTGTTTTTATTCAGTTTTGCATTACTTTATCTTCTCTACATGAGGTCCATTTAATTTTTTCATTTTGATGAGGGCATCGAGAACCATTAGACCACATCTGGGATGAGAAAATTATATTTAACTTTTGTGATATTTACGCTTTCTTTTTCTTATAAACTTTTGGAAAGCATGAGGGACTTTAAATGATTATAGAATTCATTTATTTATTGACAAACTGCTCCTTTAAGCAAAACTGGCATTTTCTCACAACATTTGTGGTAATGTTGATGCAGTCACGTATTCAAATCAATCTCATATGTTTGCATACGGAGCTTGTCACCAGGTGTGCCAGGGTCCCATCTGTAAATCTGAAATTTCTTTATTTTTGGCTCTGGTGCAGGGGCAGCTGCTGTCCGGCCATATCTCACCAGCTGGGGTAGAGAGACAAAAATAAATGATGGGTCAACATCAGACAGGTGATGCTAAGTGTTTTGAGTTTACTGACAAATTACATCAACACACTGCATCCCTTTGGCCTAAAATAGATTTGGTAAAAATAAAATGTGATGTCAATGATATTTTTTTTGCTATGTCAACATATGACAGGTGA